TGTAGCCAGCAGCCAGCGTGAGCGGCCAGCAGCCGCAGTGAGCGGCCGTCCAGAAGCCGGCGACTGATCTGCCTCACCCGGGAAGAGCGCAGTGATGGTGCCAACTTGGGCCAGTGAAGCAACGTCCTCAACTAGACTGAAGAACAAAAGGACAGCAACTTGTCTGTTCCCCTTCCCCGATTCCCCAGCACTGTTCCCATCCCCCCAATTCCCCAATTAAAAAAAAAATCAATTTGTTTTCAAGGTTCATCCACATTGATGCATATACCTCATTCCTTTCTATGGACCAATAATATTCCATCGTATGGATACACCCCATTTGGTTTAGCCATTCACGTGATGATGGGCATCTGGGTTGTTCCATCGTTAGGCCATGTGAATACTGCTGCTAGGAATATTCATGTACAAGTATCTGTCTGAACACCTGTCTTCAATTATGTGAAACATCCAGAATAGATAAATCCATAAAGACAGAAAGCAGATGAGTGGTTGTTGGAGGCTGGTAAGAGGGGACTATCTGCAGTAATGGTTTCATGGGTATGGGATTTCCTTTTGGAGCGATGAAAATGTCTTGAAACTACAAAGAGGTGGTGATTGCATAACATTGTGAATGTGCTAAATGTACTAAATGCCACTGAATTGTTCACTTAAAATGGTTAATGGTTAATTTTACATTACGTGAATGTCAATTAAATAAATAACTTTGTAAACATTGTGAAGGCAAAATAATAATAATAATAATAACAACAACAACAACAACAGCAACATGCCTGTGGGTCTTAGCCAGCCCTCTGGCCATGAGTTTCAATCTTCTTTTCCGGGCTTTAAAAAGACAAACATTACACAGAAAAATATGTATAATAAGATTATTTAAATGAAGTTCAAGATAAGCCAAATGAAACAACACTTTGTTTTTTGTTTTTTAAGATTTTTATTGGGGAATTGGGGGATGGGTACAGCACTGGGAAATTGGGGGAAGGGGAACAGACAAGTTGCTGTCATTTTGTTCTTCAGTCTAGTTGTGGAGGATGTTCCTTCACTGGCCCAAGCTGGCACCATCATTGCGCTCTTCCCAGGTGAGGCAGATCAGTTGCCGGCTTCTGGACAGCTGCTCACAGTGGCTGCTGGCCGCTCACACTGGCTGCTGGCTACATACGGTAGCCCATGGCAACCCACTGCCACAGGGGCTGCAGCCTACGCAGTTGCTGGTGACTCATGGCAGCCCAGCTCCAGGTTGAGCTGTTGTTCAGCATCATTAGCTGTAGATGGCAGTGTCACTGGCCCTCATTCGTGGGATCCGAACCGGGGCCCTCTGGCGTCCCAAGCCAGCTCTTAACCAATGCGCCACTCAGCCAGCCTGAAACAACACTTTTTTAAATAGAATAGAAGTATAGTTTGTAAAACTGTAAGGAAAAGCAAGAGAATGATTTGTTCAAAATTTGGGCTGTGGTTGGTTCTGTATCAGAGTTGCGGTGTTGAGGTGGGGATATCCGCGAGGGACACACCAGCAGCTTCCAAGAGACTCGTTTTTTTTCTCAGCTGGGTTCTGAGAAAATGAGTGGTTTTGATTTGGCTTCTTTTGCATATATGATGCATTTCACATTTAAAAATAAAAGTTTGATGAATTTTAAAAAGACATTTTGATGTGAGGTAAAATGTTAACAATTGGTGGATCTGAGTAAAGAGTATGTGGGTTGTCAGTGCACTGTTTTGACTCTTGCAACTTCTCTGTCAGTTTGGAATTATGTTTAAAAAAGTTTTAAAGTGTATACAAAAAGGACAGGAAAGGTAGATTTCAAGATGCTTCTATTTTAGTACAAATTGGCAGTTTTAAAAACAATCACAGGGAAATAAAGTACAGCACAGGGAAAATAGTCAATAATATTGTAATAATTATTTATAGTGTTAGGTGGGTTCTAGACTTATGGGGGAATCACTTCATAAGTTATATAAATGTCCAATCACTATGCTGTATATCTGAAACTTATATAATATTACGTGTCAACTGTAATGGAAAAAAATTATAAAAAAGAAGCTTCTACTTTCTTTCACTTCAAAAAATAAGGTGAAGAGATGTTTGAAATTATCTCATAGTGTGATGCGATTCCAGTTATTTGTCTTGGAGAGGTCTCTATTCCCTTCTCCCACTTCTGGGAAGTCCATGAAGACCCTGGCTAGGAAAGAGGGTGCACAGGGAAGACTCTACTGGACAAAGAGCCATTCCCCCAAGAGCAGGGGCCCCTCCCCCATGGCAGACATCTCATGGGGCTTCCCTGAGCTGGCTGGGCACAAAGTCAAGTAGAAAAATAAATTGTTGGTGATCCCTGTTCCTAGCACTTATCTCAGTTAATAATTACACGTTAATTAGTGTGGTTAATATCTGTTTCTATCACCAGACTGTCAGCTCATCGGGGGTCCCTTTTCATTCTCTACTGTATGCAGAGCCCAAAGTGCCACTCGATAAATAATATAGCAGCAAGACTGATGGAGTTATGACCCTGTGCCACACAGTCTTCTGAAGTTTTGCAGAGATTATTAGGGCATTTGCTCTTCACAAGGACTATAGGAGGTAAATACTGCGATGAGCTCTCATAAGGCAGGAAGAAACAGAGGCACAAAGAAGTGAAGCAAGTTGCTCCAGCTGTGAAATGTGGAACCAGGTTTCATACTGTGTTCACAGCCCACATTCTCAACCCCTGCCCTACGCTGCCTCTGCTTATTCAATGAAGAAGTGAACACACATGCCTAGCTCCCTCCCCTCAGCTTCCTCAGCACAATGCTGATTTCAGTGCATAAGAAATGAAGACAGTGTCCTGACAAGGACCTCAGCACTGAACCTCAGACAGGCGCAGAAGGGATCCCCACGTTTCCTACGTGACAAAATGATCTCCTCGGTGAGGAAGCCACTTGCAACCCTGGGGCGATCTATAATTACATGTTGCTTTACAGCTACCTCCACGACTGCCCCCCCTGCACTAACCCCCGACCTAACGAGGTCCTGAGGAAGTGTCTCGGAATGCGGAAACCCGGAGGAATGATTACCGGTAAAGCTTTCTCTAGGGAGTGTCTCGGAATGCTGACACCCGGTGGAATGATATCGGTCATCTCCCTTATTTGAATAGGACGCGGCACTATGGCCCTGTCCTGGGGGTTGTGCAGGCTGTATGAAGGCATCTTACATGTTGGACTATGTACATTAACTAGCCTAATGGAAAACAGCCTTAAGGCACATAGCACACGGATCTTTGAGTAATTCAGTTTCACTTCCTTTGAAATATTCTCAATAAAAGCCATGCGACGACCCGATTCAGGGCTCAGTCCACGAGGCTGATGCCCCCTGGCCCCGCTTTAGCCTTATCTCTGTCTCTTGGGCTCTTTAACTCTGTGCCACCCTTCTCATTTCCCACTGCCCTTGCCACGCAGGACGTGACAATTACATTATGTTATAATATGTATGTAATATAACATAATATGTTATAATATAATATATGATACAATATAATATGTAAATATTATGTTACATGTTATATCATCAATATTATAACGTTTATATAATACAATGTTAGATTGTATAAATATTGTTACATATATGTAATATTATGAATGCTATATTTATATATTATAGGCTATTAATATATCTTATATAAAGATTATTATAATATATGATGTTAAAATTATATAACATACAATTGTATTTATAATTTATAATTAAATATAGAAATGCTTAAGAGAATATACTAATATCTGAAATATTAATGTAATTATCTGTTGATTATAATTATATACTATATATAATATTGGTGTAATAACATAATATAATGTATAATATATATTCTATATAATAGTCTATATAATTATAATTTATAATTATACAAACTTTCAAGAGGCTCAAACTCAGAATATGAATAAGCTTGTATTCATAAACCAGCACATAGTCCATATTTTAAATATTTTTCAATGTTTAAGAGACTGGCCTTTGAGAGGTAACAGATCATCTTCAGTGATACCGATCTAGTGGAAAAATTCATTCCAGTTATGATTTCTGAGTTGAAATACATACATCGGTCTTCATGAGGGAGGAGGCCGGCCCTTGGGCCTGAGGGACTCGAAAACCTGTCACAAGGTCCTCATAACAGTTAACTGGTAACTCTTGTGCTGTTATTATTCCTGCTTCTACAAGCATTCTGCTCACAATGATAAATGTGTTCTCTAAGATGACAGACGCTCTCTCTACAGCTCTCCTGGCGTCTTCCTGAGTCCTCAGAATTTCCTTTCATGCCCATATTCCTACCAACGGTCTTGTCAAGGCAGTCTGGGCTTTTTTCCATCACGCACCTCAAAACTCCTCCAGCCCCTACCTACTCCCCAATCCCAAAGCCACATCCACAGTTTTTGGTATTTATTATAGCAGCACCCCATTTCCAGGTACTAAATTCTGTTTTAAGCTGCTCGGGCTGCCATAACAAAATACTACAGATTGGGTGATTTAAACAACAGAAATTTATTTTCTCATGGATCTCAGGCTGCAAGTCTGAGATCAAGGTGTCACAGGGCTGGTTCCTTCTGACAGCTCTGAAGGAGAACCTGTGATAGGACTCTCTCCTTGGGGTGTAGATGCTGTCTTCTCCCTGTGTCTCCCCTCTGTGCATGTCTGTGTCCTAATTGCCTCTTCTTGTAAGGACACCAGTCAGATTGGATTAGGACCCACACTAATGACCTCATTTTCACTTGGTTACCTCTGTAAAGACCAAGTCTCCAAATAAGGTCACATTCCAAGGTCTTGGGGGTAAGGACCCCAACATATATTTTTGGAAAGGACACATTCAACCCATACCAAAGTTTGCATTCAAAATAATTCCGTTTTCCCTCACTCTCTGTGGGTTCATTGACATGTGACTTTGGGGCTGATAAGTAGCATGCAGCATGTTTCTGGGGAGCAAAGGGGGTCACTTTTCTCTACCTCAGAATGCACAATCACATCACAAATGGACTCCAAATCAAAGTTGTTAAATTTCCAAACCTTTAATCCCAAATCAGACTACAGCAAGGTCAGACCCAGACATTCTCCCCCCTCTCACACCTCCGCTCTCCTATCTCTCCAAATTTCAGATTAGTTGGAAGAAGTCTCTCCCACAAGTCAATGCATCCAGATCTGACAAATGAATAGGTCCAATTCATCCTCCCCCATCCCTCGTTACCCCATCAGGTCCTTGCCAGCCTTCCCTGGGGACCCTCGTTTGCCAAAAGCCTCTCCCCATCCCACCCCCAAGCGACCTCATTTCAGCAACCTAAGTAAACATATTTACAGAAGGAAAAGATAAGGACACAAGAGGCAGGTTTGTGCAAACAACGTGGGCCCCAGAGCAGGGAGAACCCACTTCCTCCAGGATGTGGGGCAAAAAATTTTGAGGGGACAGTGGAGAAAAAAGGGTTTGGAAGGAGCTTAGAGAAAGCACAACAGTGACTCTAGGTGGCCCTGTGCCCCTGCTTGGGACAGAGTGAGCCCCAGGGCCAGGGTGGCAGAGTGAGCAGGAGCAGACAGCCACCCCCCAGCATCAGGACCAGACCGGCCCCCACACCGCAGGCCAGAGACCAGGAGTACTCATAGGTCAGGGCCGGGGCGGGAGGAGGCTCCGGGCTGACTCTCTGCAGCAGGGCTCGCACAGAATGTCGGAACACCTCCAGGCTGACCAGGAGCAGCAGGCCTGTTGGAAGAGGAGGACAGACATGGTACTCAGACTTCTGGGGACCCCAAATTGGGTCTTAGCATCTCCCCCAATACACCCCATCACATGCTCCTCAAGCAAGAAACCTGGGAGAACTCCATGCACCCTCTCATTCAACAACTACTTACTAAACGCCTACTATATACTATACAACAGGCACAATTTTGGATGCTGGAAAGAAAGAAGGAACAAGACTCAGATTGCTAGACACAGAAAGTTGGATGGTGCGTGCCCCAGGCTGGGGGAGGGGAATGGGAGTTCGTGTTTAATGGGGACAGAGGGTCAGTTCTGGATGGTGGTGATGGTTATACAACAATGTGAACATACTTAATGCCATAGAACTGGACACTTAAAAAATGGTAAATTTTATGTTCAGCGTATTTTACTATTTAAACAAAAGAAAACCCAGAAATTAAGAATCAAAAAAGCCAAAATAAGACTCCATCAAGTCTATCATAAAGAGTGATAGTGGAATCTAACATAGTCAAACTCAAAGAAACACAGAATAGAACGATGGTTGCCAGGGGCTGATTGTGAGGGAAATGGGGAGATGCTGGTCAAAGGGCACAAACTCCCTGTTATAAGATGAATAAGTTTTGGGAATCTAACAAACAGCGTGGTTACTATAGTTAACAATACTGTACTGTATGCTTGAAATTTGCTGAGAGTAGTCTTAAGTCCTCTCACCACATGCAATAAAAGGTAACCACGTGAAGTGATGGATGTGTTAACTGGCTTGATTGTGGTGATTATTTTGTGATGTATATGTATACCAAACACCACGTTGTATATCTTAAATATAAACAATTTCTACTCATCAAAGTTAGGGGGTAGGAGAAGAGATGGATCACGAAATGAAAAGAAAGGCAGTTAAGCCAAATTGTAATGCTGGTGTAATAAAAAATTTTTTAAAAAGGAACAAGACAGACAAAGACCCTAACCTCATGGAGTTTATATTCTACTTGGAGGAGTCAGATAGCAAACAAATAAACCAAGGTCTGCAATATTCAAATGCCTGCAGGAGGCAATGAGAAAGTAAAAATAATGAACCAGGTAGGTGTGGTGGGAACAGTGACAGAGTAAACAAAACCCAGCTTCCGCCAACTGCAGCCCTTCAGAAATGGGGACTTAATTTGCCACATCTTCGGATTTTTCAAGAATAGACAAACTTTTAAAATGATTATGACTGTTACAGGAATTCACCCAACCTTTACATATTGGCTCAGAGAAATCTTTACACGTTGCCCACCAAACAGACTGTGTTATGGGCCATCAGTGGCCTGCAGGCTGCCAGGTGGCAACCTCCAAAGTAAACACATGAGAAGACAAGATAATTGCACAGAGTGATGCATGCTAGGAAGGAGATAAAAACAGGGTTATGGGAAGGGGAGTGACATCTGGGTGGGGACTTTAGATGGTGTCATTAGGAAAAGCCATTTCAACTGAGACCTAAAGGATGAAAAGAAGCCAGCCATGCACACAATTAGTGATGGTTGTTCCAACCAGAAGTAATGGCTGGTGTGAAGGTCTGTGGTAGGATGGAGTATAGTGTGTTTGAGGAAAAGAAAGGTCAGTGTGACCAGAGCAAAGAGAGTGAGGAGGGAGAGAGTGGTGGGTAAAAGTGCAAAGGTGGGCAAAGTCAGATCTGATGACCATCTGATGGTCATCTATGGTCATGGATCCTAGCTACCTCCCTTCGCAGACCCTGGAGTCTGGCCTTATCCTCAGACCCTGAGCCTCCTTCCTCCTTGCACTCCAGCTCCCCCATGGTCTTTAATCAGGGGCCTGGAGAATGCAGCCGGGAGTCTGTGTACCACAGTTGGATGGCCCCACTATGAGCCCTTCTTGGCCTCATGCAGCTCAGCATTAGGGCACTGGAGGTGCAAAAGCATCTGGAAGAGAAGGAGACATTATCCAGTTCCCTCCATTCTTTTGTTAATTCGTGCATCTTTCATTCATTCAACAGAGTTTTATTGAACTCTCATTATAAAATACACATAAAATGTATAATGAGACTAACAAAGGCCCTGCTCTCCTGGTGCTTGGTCTTGGAAGGAAAAATGGACAATAATCAGGTAAATGTATTGTTGTGGGCTGAATTGTGTCCTCCCCAAAGTTTCTGTGCTGGGGTCCTAACCCCAGAGCCTCAGAATGTGACTACAGTATTTTGCCGTGTATAATGTGCACTTTTTGCCCTAATTTGTGAGGTAAAAATAAGGGTGCGCATTATACATGGGTAGTATTAGTTTTGTATCTATATAAATGTTTTTAATTCTTTTATTTATGCTTATGAGTTAAAAATGTAACTCTAGAAATCAATAACGATATCCATATGCAAAATAATACCGTGAAATAGGATCATCAGTTTTGTTGAACTTACGATGAACTTGCAACAATGAAGAGTTCTTGGCCTTCTATGACGTGTAAATATCGTATATTTGTTACTGGTACATAAAATTTCTTGTGCCTTGTATCTGTTCTCGTGTTTTGTAATTATTTGTGACATAAAATTTCTTATACCATAATATGTTAAAAAATAAATGCTAGGGGCCGGCCGAGTGGCGCGTTGGTTAAGAGCTGGCTTGGGATGCCAGCTCTGAGCAGCAGGGCGCCAGTTTGGATCCCACATGGGGGCCAGTGACACTGCCCTCTACAGCTAAGATGGTGAACAACAGCTTGACCTGAAACTGGGCTGCCGTGAGTCACCGGTGACTGAGTAGGCAGCAGTGGGGCTGGCCAGTAGCTGGTGTGAGTTTTCGTGGCTGAACACAGCTCTGTTCCCCTCCCCCAACTCCCCAATAAAATCTTTAAAAAATTAATACATAAACGCTAAAATTCCTTTATAATACAAAAAACAAGTACCTAAATGTAAACAAATAAAATTTTGAATTAAAAAATTAAAATGAAATATTTCTTCCCTGAAAGTTTGGACCAAAAATGTGGGTGTGCATTATACACGGCAAAATACAGTATATTTGGAAACAGGGTCTTTAAAGAAATAATTAAATTAAAATGAGGTCATAAGGGTGGGCTCTATTCCAATATGGCTGGTGTCCTTACAAGAAGAGGAGATTCGGAAACAGAGGAAAGTCATGTGAGGACACAGGGGGGAAAATGCCATCTACAAGCCAGGGAGAGAGGCCTCAGGAAGAACCAGCCCTACCAACACCTACCGTATTTGCCGGCGTATAAGACGACTGGGCGTATAAGACGACCCCCTAACATTTCCACTCAAAATTCAGAGTTTGTTATATACTTGCCGTATAAGACTACCCCCTCTTCCGACCATACACCCAGTATGGTATCGCGATTCGCGATTTTGCGCTATCATACTGGGTGTATGGTCGGCTGTGTTCGATTTTGCGAGTGTGGTAAAATCGCATAACAGCAAAATCGCATAACAGCTGAGCATACACCCAGCAGCGCTGCTGATGCCTGAACGGTATGTGGAATGAAGTGGGCGGGCATGGGGAGGCCACTATGGCACGGGGCAAGCACTATGGGCAGTCTATCTGAAGTGTACCTGGCGTATAAGACGACCCCCCACTTGGAGGCATATTTTTCAGG